CAGCCGTCACATGGTGCTCATGTTGACGGATTGAATACTGAGAGCCACTTTTCTTTTGGCCTTTAAATGAACTGTCAGGGGACAGAGGATGCCTTGCCTTCCACATTCACAAGCAACATATTTCACTGCCCACCCCACACACACACACTGAGGCAGACCAGAAGAAAGAGACAGAGGGAGTGAGAGGAAGCAGGAGACAGAGCTGACTGTACAATAAACTCCGATAAGCCATTGTAAACTAAACCTGGTGGGTGTGTGACAGGGCCAGGGCAGAGGCTTTGTTACATGTGTGTCGATTATCTTTTGATATTTGTCCAGCTTATCGGCCGTCGGACACACACAGCGATCGGTCATTTAGTCTGATATAACTCCATTTTCCATTATCAGGTTCTTCCCTGTCTCTGTCGTTTCTTCCATCCCTGCACCTATCAGTCCTACATGGCCTCAGTCCTTCAGCCAGGGAGCTGGGAACTGATGAGAGTGGTAACAGGGCAAAGGTTCATCTGTTCTGGGTGCACCTTTCACCATTTTTAGCTCGAGGGATGGCAGTGTTGTGGGTTTGGTCCACACTTTGGTCCAGACTGAAAAAACTATCAGATGCATTGCTATAAATTTTTTTACCAATATTCATTGGTGCCCAGAGGATGGATCCCAACGACATTAGTGACCCCCTGACCTTTCCTCTAGCGCCACCACGAGATTGACATTGTGGTTCAGAGTGAAATGTCACAACAACCATTAGATGCATTAGCATGCAATTTGGACCAGATGTTTCCCGCTAACATTCCCAGTAGCCACTTTGTGCTATAGTGACAATATTGGATTTTTTTGCCGATATGCCGATATATAACAACTCATTTGACTGATAACCGATATCAATATATCTTCTTTTTTCCCCACCTAATTTTAGTGATCATCAAGTCTTTTCTGTTGTGAATTTAGCATCATTGTGCTGTTACTGTGACGGCCCACCAGCAGATGGAGACATCAAATACAATGCTTTTCAATTAATGTAATATTCATTCATTGTGCAAAATAAGAAATAGCATGTTGGTTGATTCTGATAGTTAATTTTAAAGCCGATACTTGCTGATACTGATGACGTGCCAATATTATTGTGCATCCCTAATAATTAGCAAATCTTAGCATGTGGAAAAAATGGACAAAAACTCTCATGCTTCTAAACATACGTTGCGCATAATCGATCAATTTCTTTACCTCACCCAGCACTAGCTGTGATTTCATGAAATTTCACCTTTTTGCTTAAGCCACCCTCACGCAAGTGAACTTTGTAATACTGCCACGCACTTACCCTGCTTTTCTTCATTTTCTGTCATATAATATTACTGTGTCAGATGTTCATGAAAATGTGGCTCAAGTTTCAAATAATGACACTAAAACCATTCCAGACTATTTTAAATTCTCTTTCGAGACAAGTTGACATCAGATAGTGACGAATTTCTTTATATGATCATCTTCTCCTCCAGCACGTTACTGCAAGTGTTTACATTTTGTGGCCTACACTACACATGCTAACGTCGGGGAAATATGTAATCTTGGCTGCTGATGCTGTAAATTACTCCTTGATTTCGGATCATATTCCTGCTGGACTGGTTGTGCGGATATTGGTTTAGAGGTTTTAACAGTAGAAAGTGCCGCTATACTTTGTTTCAATCATTACCTGGCTGCAGTTACACTGCTACATGTAACGTCAGGGAAATATGTAACCTTACTTGCCAACACTGTTAATTTCTCACCGATTTTGGGTCATATTCCAGCTGAAACATGTCCAGTTGTGAATAGAGGTTTTGATTGGTGATTTTTTATGGTAGAAAGTACCACAGTACTCTGTTACAGTCATTCCCTGGCTGCAATGACGGTACTGGATATATAAAGAGAACTGGATAGAACGTTGGAGGCACGTCCCTGTTCATTCCAATGAAAGTTGCTCAGTAGACATGAAGCGTAAACATTTCAACTGCTGCATATGAAATTACCTGGATGATGCACCATGATGTGGCCCACAGAGCAAGCGCAGTGGAGACTTTGGCTGCCTATTTCCAGTGGAGCCCTCAGCTAACTTGATTGGGGATACACAGGGCCACAGGGCATCATGTGACAGATGTTATTACAATGTTTGGCCACCATGAAAATTGGCTTCAAAACCTGCTGCACTTCCCATGGGCCTGGCAGATACGCTGAAAGCAAAAATAGGAAGACCAGGGAAAACACAAACCAATCAGAGCAGGCTGGGTTTGAAGAAGCAGGCACTAAAATGAAGTGGTTCAGACAGAGGGTGAACCCAGATGTTCTAGCAGACAATATAATCGAATTTAAAAAATTTTTGACATATAAAGCATGTTTCAGTAGAAACCCGAAATACAAGTGCAAACTGGAAAATGAACACATAGGCTCCCTCTCACACTTAAATTCTCGTGACAAACCTTTGTTGAACCTCTGATGTATGTTACCAAAGACCTTCATTCTGGCATCACCCTCTGTCCAGTTTTTAAATTTACTTCACCACCAGGACTGCTAAAGATTAAAAACTAATATTTCTACCTGGCATTTGTTTTCTCCACAGTGAGCATTACAGCCTCACAGAGCTGCTAGCATGGCCATAAACTATTTTTAAAGCCAAATGTTGGTACATTTTGTCACTGTTGGAAGCAACATGAATAACACCTGGTCATTCTGTTTGGCGGCTGAAATTTACGTTTGAGTATATATGTGAGATATGAGGCTTGCTGCACGGCAAGGTTGCAGCAGCTCATACAAAGAGATGTTTTAGGACACTGGAAGATAAATTTAAAGCCCTTTGCGTTATCAGCCATCTTCAAACAGACTATCTGCAGCTAATGGAGACGGTGATTACCAACAAAGCAACGGATAGTTCCCAAACTGAAATCTCTGGGGAGGGCTGTTGAGACTTGTAAGGATACGGAGTCTCTCTCTCCCTCTCTCTCTTCCCTGTGCTATTTCAGAATCAAAGTGCTCATCGTTCATCTATTATTCAATCTGTTTCACTCCACTGTTTCTCTTTCTGTTTTCACATATACACCATTTAGCCTCAGCCCACTTGGTGGAGCTGTATTTATTTTTGGAATCTTCATTTTCTCTCTGCTCGTGACGGAGAAGACCTTCTATCACTGCTTGGCCCTTTAACGTCTTGTCTCTTAGACGAGAGCAGACCTTAGAATACAACAGCATGACATGTTGTATTGTTCATGGACTGTGTCCATTTGCTCTACAGTTCACCTCTTAAGGGTTGTAACTAATGATTAATTTAACTATTGATTAATTATTCTTTTGCATTTTTTTCATTGACATGTTTATCATTTAATCAATATAACTGCAGAAGATTTTAAAAGATTGCTGTTACATTTTCCCAGAGGCCAAGGTGATTGGCAGACCTACACTTAAAGGAATACTTCACTCCCTAAATGATCATTTGTATATCAATTACTCCCCCTGTGTCACGTTGAATTTGTAGAGAAGGCTTTGTTTCAAGAGGAAATCACTGAGGAAATTCTTAAGGGATTAAAGTCATAGGGCTTCCTGTTTAACTACAGCAAAACTATACCAAAACATCAGTTAACAAACTCTCATACTCTCAAGTCGTGCAGTATAACGACGAGTTTGGGAAGGACTGAGCATACAACTGGATAAGTAAGACTTGGATTATACTGCAGGAGTTGTGTGATTTTGATGTGCGTTTTTAAACAGATGTTTTAATATTGTTTTGTTGTTGAATCCCTTTAAAGACCCTAAAATAACCTAATTAAAAATGATAAGATGACTTTTCACAGCACACAAGAGGTTGACATTTTGGAGATGTATGGATTTATTAACAGGACAGTGAGGGAGCGAACTTAATTGTTTGAAATAAGACAAGGGAAGGAAATTATAATGTGATGGCACATACGCTAATAGACTGCTAATACACCTCTGTAAGTTTATAAGAGAGGATATAGTTGATTGCCCTGCTGAGTGCAGACTGTAACCTCCGTGTAGCCTGCTACAAATTTAGAGAGGGTGTGTGTGTGTGTGTGTGTGTGTGTGTGTGTGTGTGTGTCTGGAACCATGATAGAAAATGTTTTTTGTGCCCTTGAAGCCTGGCTCTAAGAGGTTTTCAGGAGGCTGTTTTTAACTTCATTTTTCTGTGGACAGAAGCTTTGCTTTAATAATACAGTTTCATTACACAGGAAACTAGTTCCCCGGGTAGACTGATTTAAATTTAACAAAAAAAAACAAAACACTGGGCTCCAACCCCGGCTTTTGGCTTTACCTTGAATTAATTGGCATCAGCAGTCTGTTAAGGTCGAGGTCACCACAGTCACCACTCAGAGCTAATGAAAGAGAAAAGGGAAACAAAGGGAGCTGGTGGACAAAAGTATCAGATCAATGGAGCTTGTTCGGACTGCTCATTCACCCGTCTCTTTTGTGAGGAAGGGAGTTTTGTCATAAAGCTACAGTGGAAAAATACAGAGCTGCTATTTACATTTAGAAAAGCATACTCAGTGCTGATCAGATGTTCTCAAAGTGATCTGACAACATGACTAATGCCCCTTGATGTTTTTGCAACTTACGACCAGAGGTTTAGCCCTTCATGAATCTCAACACAAGCAGCCTGGTGGCCGCTGCCTGGCTGTCACCGCCTGTAGTACATTCCTACTCACACAGCTCTGAAAGGGCATATTTAATGACCTCTCATTATCATTCCTCTCCGAGGAAATAATTTCCAAACCGTCTCTACTTTACTGATTAGGCCTCGAAGGATTCCCCTGAAGTCGTTTCCACTTCCTCCCTCTTTCCTTAATGCAACTCCTTCCCTGGAGTTCTCATTTGTATAAGTGCTATTCCACGACCCCTCTTTCCCCAAAGCTTTTCTTCTGGTTCCCTACTCTCTGCCACCACTCTCTCTCAAAACATGCCTTTTTATGTAACGCTGATGTCTCTAACTGTTTGCTTATCTCCCTTTTCTCTCTCCCTCTCCACAGAATGATACCTGGTCAGAGCTGTACTCGTTTGCTGTATTCAAGGCAATGAGCCACATGCTGTGCATCGGTTATGGCCGGCAGGCCCCGGAGAGTCTATCAGATATCTGGCTCACCATGCTGAGTATGATTGTAGGAGCTACTTGCTATGCTGTTTTCATTGGCCATGCAACGGCTCTTATCCAATCCCTGGACTCCTCCAGACGGCAGTATCAGGAAAAGGTGAGCAGCTACATCAGATCACCTGTGTCCAATGTTCTCAGCAGTTTTTCTGTTTTCTATTAACATCCAGTTTTACACTTTATTTCCCCTGAAAGGAAAAGTTTAATTTTTTTTTCGCTTCCTATCTGAAACCTAGATAGGAGAATCAGTACAACTTTCACATATGTACAGTAAATAAGAAGCTGCCATCTCCAGCAGGCTAACTTAGCTTAGCATTAAGATTTTAAAACAGGGAAATCTGCCTACCACCACCTCTAAAACTCTTTAACTAACACATAATATCTTTGTTTGTTTAATCCGTATGGACACCACAGTGTGTGTTGAACTATATCTTGGCCAGGACCAGTGACATAGGTGTTTACTATGATACCGAAAGTGTCGACACAGTGACATGCATGGTTGTTGAGTGTTACCAAAGAACTTAAGCCTACGATATAGCACTAAAGATTACCATGACCTGGATGACTGAGAATCTTCACTGACATTTAGATTTAGGTCTTTTTGAAAGGTTGCAGGTAGGAATTTATCACATATTTAACAAAGCTTCATAAAAGAGTGAGACTCAGAAAACAAGTTCTGATTTTATATTACAGTATATTAACAATGGCAATGAGTTTAAAAAGATTTTTTAGCCTTTATTTAACCAGGTATGTCCTCCTGAGATCAAAGATTTCTGTTACAAGGGAGACCTCTCAAGCTGTATGAACGTCTCACATAGTTAGGAAATGATATGTAGATACAGCCTCACATTACCATACACAAAGACGAATTTTAGAGTTGAAATTTGGGAAAAGAAGATCACTGGTGTCAGGGCGGTACTCTGTTAGCGTCGGCTGATACCTTTAGTTTGAGTATCTGTATCAGGGGAGAAAACAGTTGGATCGGTTTCACTGTGTGTGGCTGCCATAGACTTGGTTTATGGCATCACTTCGGATTTTTGGAGCCAGAAGTGACAATGTTTGAACAAGATTTGGATGAGGGGGTGGAGCTGTAAAGGAGCAAGAGGTGGATGTGACTGAGAGCCTGAGGAAATTATCTTCAGATAGCCTGTCACTCAAAGCGATTACACCCTTAATTATGCATAACTTTAGGCCTTAATAAAATGTAAACGGGTGAGCTGTAAACGGGTGATGTAAATATTCACTCCCTTGTACAGTACAGGGGGAAATTATCACCAGAGACCAAAACTGTATAATGCACCAGGCTGTACACATGTTTATTTCTGCTGTAATGTTGGGCATTTTAACATGGGGTTCTATGGGGGTTGGCTCTGTTTTGGAGCCAGCCTCAAGTGGCCATTAGAGGAACTGCAGGTTTTGGCACTTGCGTGGTGGCTTAATTTTTCAGCCCTAGAGGTTGCGGCTTTGCAGCTGCAGTGTGAGCTTTGTACTGATTGACTCACTGGTGGGTCAGTGCAATTGAAAAGCTCCCGCAGAGGTCAATTTAAAGAACTGGTACTGGTCATTATTTCTCTTTCTCTTCCTGTCTCTTTGTTAGTCATTGTCTGCAGCTGATTTTACAGGTTTGAATATTTGCTCCTGATTAAGTAAATATATATCATACTGTAGCCTCACACATGAATTTAATTGTAATGTATGTTGTTAACCATGGACATGAGTGGGAAATTATTGTTAGCTGTAATGTGGTGCAACAGCATCAGGTCAGACCACCTTCCTCTCAGTTAAGACCTTAATCACACATTGTCAGATACTCATTTTGCCATTAGGTGGTATTTTTCTTTGCCTATCAGACATCTTTTGAAACAAGCATGGGGATCAGAGCAGTGCTGAGCAGTGCTGCAGCAGTGGCCTGTAGTGGTAACGGCGCAGCCTCTCTGTTTCTAAGCAGAGTCTCGCTGGCTGGGGAGCAGGGGGAGTGTTGCTGGCTTTCAGCAGCCAATCACAGGCTGCGGGTGTGTTCGGCCAGGTAGAGCCACGTCGCCAGGGGCTGGACGTATGTGTGTGCGTGTGTTGGGGGGGGGGGGGGGGGG